CCTTGCTCCTTACTCGTATAATGTCACGGTCAGCTTTCTCAACGATACTAAGAGTAATGTGTCGCGAAATTGGCCTAGCTTCGAAATTGAAGGCTATTTAAGCGTGCGGGTAGGTCGAAGCAAACCTCTAACTGATGCGATTCGGATCAATATTTCCGAGACAAAGTTTTACCGTCATCAACAACCAACAACGCAAATGAAGGGTTTGCTTTCGTAATTAGTACACCTGATATGCTCATTTTTTGTGACACACGATGCAACCATTTATATTAATTAATTGCTTAAACATATCGCTGGGAAAATTTAGATGGAGCGCTTTAATTTACCGTACGCGCTCGACTCGGCGTTTTTCTTAAAGTGTTTCCATAAAAGAAGTAAGTAGCCTGCCAATGTTTTTTTCTTTTGTAAATTAAATCAATCACAGCACCTTAAAAGAAATCTTAAAATATACGCCCAATCAACTTTTAGTATAAGTGAGCGTAATGTCAACGTGCAAGTCCTTATTTTTGTGTATTCATGCTTTCCATCAGACACTGCCGTGCTAAGGAAGGACGTCGTGATAGCTTTTATGTGTTTAAATCTCCCTCGATAAATCACGAATTTTCGAGAAAATGTGTAAATATTTTTCTGCGAATATTTCGGAGGGTTTCGCTCATAATTTGATCTAAAGTGCCTGGGAATTTAAAGGAAAAATATTCATAAACTTCTTCAAGTTTAAATATTTCCCGAGAGGCAATTCGAACACTCATTCGAACATTCGAACACACGACATTCGAATGCTAATACGGCGTTTTTCAATAGCACGGTAGTACAGGAGACACTCTGGGTTTCATAAATACTGAAGCATATTCTGCCGTGCTAAGGAAATACGTCGTATGAGCATTCGAGAGTTGCCAAATTTCCTTCGATAAAATGTTTATTGTTGAGGAAAATTATGAATAATTTTCCTTGAAATGTTCAGGAACTTAAGATCAAAATGCAGATAATATTTTCTGGAAAATTAGAGGAAAAATATTCGTAAGTTTACCAGGAGATTCGTGTTTTATCAAAGGAAATTTGGCAACGTCTGAATGTTCATACGGCGTTCTTTCTTATCACGGCAGTATTAAAGTGTCTCGTTTGTCTCTTTGGTTTTTTTTCTTTCATAGATCCAAGACATTCAATTACCTGAGGACAAAGTATTCCGTTACCAGTACTGATCAGTTTTCTGCGTGCAAGAACTGTTCGGGTGGATGGAGACTTTCACTGTCATTCTACTAATGCTCATGAGCATTTTTACTTATGGCCAGTATCGTTTCCACAAGAAGCACAAGTACTGGGCCAAACTTGGGGTTCCTTGCGTCTCAAAGTGGAGACTTTTCGTTCAGGTGAGACGAATAACTCTTAAAAAATTTCATTAAAATTTGAATGTTTCGAGCATATCTACAAATCATCTTTCTCACGCCAAATTCTTAACTTACCTGCTAGCCCACTTCACTTCAAAACATAAACTGAAAATTTATAATCGTAAATGTGAAGATGTACTTACAGATTCTAAAGGTTAAAATATTTTTTACTTGGTCGCCGAAAGGACAGACAAAAATTAATCCTAATTTCAGTAATTCATGAATCAGTAAGCAGCATAACATATTTAACTTTCAGGATCGATTTTTCGGCTCAAGATATGTCTTTTCTTTCCTTTACACATATGCCTGGGTCAGGGCCTATCGCTTATCGGTGCCCGCAAAAATCATGGAAATCGGCCTAGTAGAACGCTCAAACGATCTATGACAAAAAATATAAATTTACATTGTTTAAATGGGAAAATTCGCAACTTTACCACGTAATATAAAAAAAAACCTGCAGGTCATATTTTGAAAATATAAATAAAGCGCGCTGATCTAGAGACTATAGCCTGTCGATTGTCGCAAAAATCATGAAAATCGGCCTGGTAGAACGCTTGAACTAAGCGTTACCAGTTATGCAAAATTAGGAGGTCCCGGAGCTTGTAGTATAGATAGAGAAAAAAGTCATATTTTGAGCCAAATACTCGATCCTGAAAGTTAAGTACGTGAACTTCCGGACACTCTGTATAGTACCACCGTGAGTGAGGCTAATCCAGTACTACGTTTTCATCATCCCTTCATTCTTTTGATTTTTCCAGACGGTGGCTATATCATTGGGGCGCCTTCCATTTTGGACGATGTTCACTCAACAATACGATGCGCTGACGGGACACAAATGGGGTGGCACTTATCAGATAGGTCGACCATCGCTCTTTTTCCGTGATCCGGAAATCATCCGTTGCTGCCTGGTGAACAGCTTTTCTCACTTCCACGATCGGCACGACGCCAAAACCAACGAGGACGATCCATTGACTCAAGATCTCTTCCACCTCTGTGGCCATCGATGGCACATAGTTAGACAAAAGGTAATAAAATACAAATTTACAAGGAAAATTGTGGTTTGAAAGTTGAAACTTATTCACACCGAAAAAAAGAAGCTCACTTAACATTCTGGATATAAAAAAGTGTGCGACGACTCACAAAATACTGAGTTAGCCGCCACAGAATACTGTAACAATGTCAAAATGTAAAGCTAACTTCTGTGGCGGTTAATTAATTTAGCGTTTTGTGAGTTGTCTTACACTATTTTACATCCAGCATGTTAAGTCAGCATCCCTTTTTTTCGGTGTATAAATCAGTAAAAAATTTAAGCCACGGTGTGCATAACGTCATTCCTCAATTTCTTAAAAAGAGTGAAATATTCGTTGAAACTTTGGATGTAGCCTTTTGACGTTCATTAACTCTCTATTTTTTTGAGGGGGTGGGGAGTTGAAAAACGTATGTTATTTGGTAGAGCAAATCTGCCTCAACTCTAAAAATCATGGAAAATTACCTTTTTTGGGGAGACAACGTTTTATGTGGTTTCAGTCATCTTTAATCCCTCCTAGTGACAACTTTTTAGAGCTCAGTATTTTCATCATGAGATATATTTTCAAATTTCGATCATACATAAATCTATAATGGTCTCCGAGTGAATAATTTCCGAAAGCCGTAAGAATTCGTTCTCATATGGCAAAAGTCCGGATCATGGAGAATTTGGATTTAGACCCCTTGGTCTCTCTTTCTTGGTCACGCCTTCACAAAGTCTTATGCAGTCTCACAGAAAGAAATATCAAAACAAATGATTGGTTAGTGCGAGAAGTAAAACACAAAATAATCCTGGCCTTCGTTTGACAATTTCAAGAGAAAATGGCAACTAGTTTTCTTAAAGAAATTTAATATAAAAACGAATGATAAATACCAACGTCGTAATCGGAGGAATGCATTTTCTCAGTCTCTCCATTGCTTTCTGCGTTAAATTCACTGTACAACTGTACTAAAACCAACACAAAATTAGTGTTGGTTGTATTTCACGTCGCTTATACTAACCAACACACCAACACAAGAACACAAATATTTTTATCAGTGCTGATTTCTAGGTGGCGCAAGCGTTTAGCGCGGCAAAATTACGGCTCTTGTACCAGTCACTTTGCGGATGTGCGCAGGAACTTGATGCCCACATTTCGAGTTTGTGCTCAGAACAGGGTTCCGAAGAGGTGGAGGTCTGTATCAAGGAACTCATGGCCAATTACACGATGGAGGTGAGAATGACATGGCGATACAAATTAAGTCTTTCTCGAGGAGATGGTAAAGGGAAAAAAAGTTGCAATGAGTTAAAAAATGGTAGAATCTAAAGTTTTAAGGTCAGAATCGGAAATTCTCCTTCGAGCTGAAACTATGCCAGTCTCACATAAAATAAAATGACCCGAGAAGTCCGATTTTAGGATCTTAAAAGCTCCACGAGTCTGCTGGTTTCCGCGACCGGGGGATAAGGCATGCCGGTGAATCGTCAAAAATGGTAAAAAAAAAATGATAAAAAAAAAAGAAAAAAAATTCTCAGCTTCGGTTTTAAGGTGAGCTGGAGATCGTATTGTTAAAGAATATACAATTTTATTAACGTTTTCAAGAATGAAAATGAAAATAAATGAAAGTATAAAAAATCTTTGAAAATCATCACTCATTTCGAAGAAATACTGCTCGAATTATTGCAAGGAATTTTTAGAGAACTGTGTTGGATGACGAAGAGAAGTCATCCGGAACGCTGAGTAGGAACGATGATCAGGGCTCCTTTTGAAAGTAAAACGAGACAGGAGATTTATATCGTCGCAGACCGAAATACGTGGTTTGGTATTTTCACCTGCACCATCGAATTGTTCTCTGTTTCTCTTAATTTTGCAGCCAGTGGATGTGCAAAAAGAGGCTAAAAGCATCACGGCGCCTGAATGCAACCAATCGTGCTCCATGGATGCGAGTGTTGCATGCAGAAAAATTGAAGGCTTTTCTTACCCGCACTGAAATCTGCGTAATTAATTGGATATGATACTTTAAACAAAAATTGTTCAATGAGTCAAGTTATTGCCGTTGGTAAATAGTATTGGTCAAATACAGTGTAAATGGTAATATAATAAATAACACAGTAAATAGTATAGTGTTGGTCAATGTATTTCCCTTTTATTAGTCAGATTAAATTATTTTTAAAAAATGTTTCCACTTAGGGTTCTCTTTGGGGATATTATAGATTTCTATTTTCAGAGAAATATTTATTGCTTGGGAAAAGTCAATATTTCAAGCCATTTTAAATTCGATTAAACGAATTTGATTGTAAAGTTGAACCTGAGTATTCTTACTAAATGATAATTTTCAACTTTTCGATAAGTTCGTCCTTTTCTATGAGCTTAAAATTTTGAGACAGCCACAAAATAGTTGTTAAGTTCACGTCTTCTCTACTATTCTTTTATGTCGTATGCACTCCCCACTTTTAAGCGGGAGCCTCGACGTGAGCATTTTTTAAATCCAATTACACAAGTATATTTTTTTTAATCAATATGTGCGCATTTTTTTCCTTCTACTCACAGCGTGTGAGTGTTCTTTCCTCTCAACAATACGCATGTTATCATAGGTAATAAGTGCCTCTGCTCTGGGCATTCAGTGCAGTGCAATTAAGAACCCGGATTGTCAACTGCGGCGCATCTTGGAGCTCACGATGTCTTTTAGCCTTCGTTAATACTGTATTTGGTTCATGGAGTGTATCTGGCCTGGTCTATACGGAAAACTCGGTATATCGCATGTCAGCTGTGAGATCCTTCAGTTTTACAGGTAAAAATGGAAGTCTCCTCAAAGAGCGCAAAGCTCAGAGCGCTTAAGTGTTTGCAAAAAGAAATGAGCTTCTTTTCAAAAATTTCTTTTCTACCGCCCCTTCAAATGCTATTTTCCCTCCTTCTCTACCCGCCATTTTTTATGTTATCGATCATCCCCACATTTTTTTCGGAAATATCAACGACATAAGGACGAGAAAATGCTCAAGTCCCGCCACAATCTGTATGGAACTCTTAGACTCTTCGGTCGAGCTTCGTAGCGCAGCGTGTGGGTACAATTATTTCAATGGGGGCAAATCAGAAAAACCATCCAGAAAACTCAACATCATGCATTTCAGTTGCGAGATACATTAGTTTAAAAAAATTTAGTCGTTTAGTGATTTCATAATTGGCCAGAGGGGAATGCGGATGTTATGAGCGTTGCTTTTACGCCTTCAATCAATTTTCAACGTATAGGTCATAAAATATCCTCATGCCCAACAATAATCATCAAGAATTTATGCCTTGTGATGTCTAAAAGTCTTACCTTATAATAAGTTACCTGGCGATTTTGAAGCTAACTCTGTTTTGCTATTCTAGTCTTTATGATTGCTACTACGAAAGTGCTATGAAAATAAAAGGTCGATAGACCCAGGTCAGTCCTCATGCATTCTGAGATGATTCTGATCTGAGTCTTCATGCATTATTGGATGCTTTCTTTTGTTCCACCCTTAGATCAATCATTAAAGACGCAGAAGAGATGAAAAGAAAGGATGCCGAACCACATCGCAAGGACTTCTTGCAAATATTGATGAATCTCCGAGATTCCGAACAACAAAGCGAGAGAAAAACGGAAAAAACGATGTCAGAAGACCCAGCTACAGCAACTCAAGGTATAAAAAAACAAAAGGAATCCAACATTTATTACAAGTCTGATACACAGGACCGAATTATCACCTAGAGGCCCGGGGTGCTGGCGGACAAAAGGGGTCATTTGCGGCTTACCTACACTCAAAATTGAAGGCATTTCACCTGCAATTACTTGATACAACCTAGTTAGACGAACAATATTTTTAAAAATGAAAATTTAGAATATTTAATTAATGCTTTCACAAAATATTTTAGAAAAATTTCCAATTTTTTTTAAATTATGAAGATGTTAACATCATTTTACTTTTAAAATAATTTTTGATTATTTTCGGAATATTACCAATTTTTTAAACAAATTTTTAAAATATTGTTGGCTGACTGGGTATGCTCAAACATTGAGATTGACTCGTAAACAAGGAGGACCATTCGTAGGATGTATGCGTAGGATGAAGAAAGAAAACCGTAAAATAATATTTTTTCATTGTAGGTCCAGTCCTGACGGAGAATATCATGGTGGGCATCATCAGCTCTTTTCTTTCTGTAGGCTATGAGACAATGGCGTCTGTTTTGGCTATCTGTCTCTACGAAGTAGCCCTCCACCAGGAAGTTCAACAACGGCTCTTCCAGGAGATTTCCCAAGTCCGTAAAGAAGCTGGTGGCGAGATCACCTTCGAGGACACTAAGAAACTCCAGTTTATGGAACAAGTTATGAGTGGTAAGAACCGAATGTTTATAATCAACGCACCAAGGACCGCAGCGAGGCCAAAATGGGATCCAGGAGGTCCGAATCCCCAAGTGCCACCAAAGATAGTTAAAATTTGTTCATTGCACAGAAAATCCTTCACTTTAGATGTACTCTCCCCCTAACTAAAAATTGAATCGACTCATGCGAAACGTCCGTCGTCCAATACAGGATTTCATGATAGCAGTGATTTCTTTTGGCCCACGGCACTAATGAATAAGATAGATCTATTTTGTAAACGTTTAATTATACTCAAGGGATTATTTATAAAATTGTTCTACATTCCTAACGTCTTAAAACATCTTGTGTCTATAATTTACAACGAAATCTTCCACTCAAATTCTGAAACTCTGTATTGGACACCGGACGTTTTTGCATGCACCGATTCAATTATTGACCCTAGCTCCTCCATGTAAAATTTTTAACCCTACCATCCTCATCATTAAAGATTCATATTTCCGCAAATAAGCAGGAATCTATCATTACTTGTTTAAGAGTTAGTTGCTGTAATTTTCAGGAGTTGAATTTACCTTTCTTCTCTTCCTAACTTCAGTTTCATTGTTCTCTTTCGGAAAAATTTCTTGTTATGCAACTGCAAAGGGGTTCACTGGCGCGAACAAAGCATTTAAAGAGTTCCAAAGGAAACAAGGGATATTATTCAATACATTTAAATGCCAAATTTGGCTGCGGCTAAGCTGCATAGAACACGGTGATTGATTAGACGAAAAATCGAGTGCCAAGCCAAAAAATGTTGGCTTAAAGCTCGATTTTTTGTTTAATCAATTACCAGGTTGGATTTTAATAAATGTGCTCTCCGTGATTTTTGAGTCATTTCCGAGAGAAAACTCCCCCTTTTGGTCCAAGGAAAGTTTGCAACAAACCCACACAGAAAAAAAAAACTCCGGCCTTGGAAGCCGGACTTACTGGGTATATAGACCAACCGTTCGCGTTCCGGGCTCAGAGGCCGAAAGTTCCGGGCGTAGCACCCGAAGCAGTAGAAGCTACGACTCCAGCATCCGGAACTTTCGGTCTCTGAGCCCGGAACGGACGATACATCTATAAAGCCCATTGAGTGCATTCAAAACTCTCTGACATTCAGAGGCGGATCCAGCAATTTGGCAACACCGGATTTCCTCCATTTGAACCTATCCTGAATAATCGATTCTTGTCGCAGTACCTGCCCCCTCCTCAAATCGATACATTTTTATAAATTTAAATGGAGGGAATTCGGTGTTGTCAAATTGCTCGATCCGCCAATGCTGACATTTACCAACCCGTTTTGTATTTGTCTGCTCAGAGACACTAAGGAAGTACCCGGTTGCAACGACTATCGGTAGGTGCTGCACGGAGCCGTTTCAGATGCCGGATTCTCCCGTGGTCGTCGAGAAGGGTATTCTATGCTTCTTTCCGACCCTGAGTCTCCATCACGACCCCAAGTATTTTCCTGAGCCAGAGAAATTCGACCCGGACCGCTTCGCGCCCGAAAATCTGGACAAGATCGTCCCCGGCTCCTACCTCCCCTTCGGCGATGGGCCCAGGTCTTGCATCGGTAATGAATTTTAAGTAACTTAAAGTTTTTTTAAATACTTAAGTAAACTTATGTACTTAATTGGAAAATAAAATAAATTAAAATAAAAATAAAGAACTGCAACAAGAATACAGGATATCGACGCAATGTGGATCGAGGGAGAGGGGAGGGGGTGGATCTGTCAATGGGAGAGGTCGAACAACATTTGGAAACTTTAAAAGCTTGTAACTCCGTTTATACAAAACTTTGAGATTTTAAAAGTGGTTTTATTGGTTTTTTCAAAAAAATTTCTTCTAGAATCGCACCTCAAAATTTAAAATGTGAGGGAGTAGATCAGAATTTGCAGTTTTATTAAACAAATTCGTGTTTGACCTCTATAGTTGGCTCGATCCACTGTGCGCAGTAAAACTCGCAAACCACGTATCTCGTTTGCGGTTTTTAAAGATCTCCGCTCCCATTTTATTTTTTAAGAAGAACGAATCCTCGAATTTTTCACAGAATTTGCTCCGTGCAGAGGATAAAAATCACGGACATTTTTTGGAAGTGACGCTGAATAGTTTTTCATGGGAAAAATAAAGTATGACAGGAAGTCAGGCAAAAATATTTAGCGGGCGTAATTTTGGGTCATATTCAACTCCAGGGGGCGGGCGTTGCAACTCATTTTCCGACGTTGCCAAAGGTGGAAAAGTGTACCTACTCTACCTGTATAACATCGTTAGCTAAATATTTGTGAGCAATCTTTTAAAGAGCAATTCTCCTGTTGATTTCAGCATCCCGAATGGTCTTAATGGTCTTCAAAACTGTGTTAATAACCATGATCTCTAATTATACGATTCATTCGTCTCCAAAAACCCCAAAGAAATTGGAATTTGACGGTGCGCGCTTCCTGCTTACACCAAAAGGGAACTTATGGTTGCGCATCCGGAAAAGAAAATGAACTCTCATCATGAGTATGTATATTCCACAAGTGGTTATGTATGTGTAAGTCGCTATTACGGCGCTCTAGGGCGCTCTGCGACGCCTACCCGCCACAGGAATCTGTCATGGTTGAGATCCTCCATAAATGGTTCATAAATTCCATAAGTGGTTTTACTAGGAATAAAAGACCCTCCTAAATTAAGGAATATTACTTCAATTTTATTGGTGGAGAATCTATGGTTCAGTTTCTTTGACCGAATGACCAAAATAATTGTTGAAAATTTTAAAGTCTATGCATGCGTTTAATATGTAAAAAGCTGTAAATCATCTTACTAATGATTAGAATCCTATAGATTAATCAATCTGGATTTTCGCTACATTTTCAAATAGTTGGTACCTTAATGACTCATATAGAAACTAAGCCACATATCTGTTGTAAAATCATTGTTTAAAAAATCCAAACTGGGAAGATCGAATAATCGTGAAAATATGGCAACTTGACGTTGATTTTTTTTCTTTCTTTTCTAATGGTTTGCCAATTTGGACAGTTTCTGTAGGAAAATAACGAAGAGACTAAATGCATGTATCAAATTACCAAAGTATTCGATTTTGAACATCTGTATTTATTTTCAACGGTGGATAACTCAGTTGTAAGTCTCAACTTATGTTTTAAAATTTTAGAAAATAAATGAGGGAGATCTATGAAAACTTTTTAACATTTTTGTAGGAAAAGTTCACATCAAAGTTAGTAGACCGTTGCCTTCCCAGACAGCTGCGAGATGTTGCTGTCACTGACGTTCACTCAACTTACATCAAAAAGGAGATCGGTCATAGGGCAATTAAAATGAACTTTGATTACCATCGTTCATTTTTTAGTTTCGCGATTGATTTCGCTCCAACTTCCTTCCTCCAGAGATTGCTGTACGGTGAATGAGTTTTTCATTTAGGCGGCGCAGAGCAGATGTTGAGTACGTTATTCGCATGTGCTCATTCAATGCGTGCAATTGCCTCAATTTCTACCAAAGCATCCTGGAAACAAGCAAATTGTAAGGTTAAAAAACTCGATTTTTGAGTGGCTACCGAAAATACGGTGAATGTAAAACAGTTATTTTAATGAGACAGAAAACTATGCAAGCTCCATATAAGACAAGACTTTAAAATTATAATATGATTAGATCAATAAGATCTCATTGCGCCATTAAAACGAATTTTTGCGCCAAGACGATGAATTTTTTACAAAAGTAACGACCAGAAAAATGTCATCATAGTAAGAAAACTTTCGCGCTTTCTTGGCGTGCAGTAAATGGAAGAGGACAAACTTTCTGAAAAATATCTTAAATTACCCTCAATATTGATGGCTACAGTTGACAAATACGCATCACTGACTGAGACATTGCATATATCCCCTCATATTTTTTTTTGTTTTTAGGTATAGAAATAAAAACAAGAAAAAAAAAACCGTTTTCCCTTAAATTATTTTTTGCAAAAAATGTTTCACTCGATTAAAAACATTCATTAGTTTCAAATAGATATTACAGGTGGTTTTCTCTCAAATAAAACATTTCTGAAAAAAAATAATCAATTATAAAATTGGAACGATCGAACATTTTGAAGCGTCGCAATTGAGGTGCGTATTTTTCCGCTTTAGTCATCGATATGGATACTGCAGACTTTCAAATTCTTCGCAAATTAAAAAAATTGAAATTTACTTATTTTGAAATTAATTATTTGAATTCTTTTGGAATGTAAAAGAGACGATTTTAACATAAAACTTACGAGAGGGTTTTTAACTACTTGGAAACATGATCGAGCTGGATGCGGTTCTTTGAAGTCTGCAAAAAAAATTAAATAAAGTTGTGTAAAAGTTACATCTGAGAATACAGAAAGCATTTTTAAAGTATAAATGATACATGGATAAAACTTAAATAAAATGAATTAAATTAGTTTTAGTCTCGTCTTGGCTATACACACTTCAGCAAATCCAAATTAAGCATACGTCTCGAGTGGAGAGTTTAAAAAACTGTCTACAAGTGACCTAAGAGGTAAGTACAAGAGATTGAAGAGATCGCCCTCTCCTTCTAAATGGCAAGGATTTTCCTCGCGTTAAAATAAATGTATCGCCATGTGCAAGAATATTTTCATCTTCAGACACCCTGCAACTCATAAAAAAAATACTAGTAATTATTCGTCGCCTTCCTTTAAAAAATGCATGATTTTAGCTATGACTTTGATTTTGACCGGCCTCATTTTCTCTGGACATTCGTGCGATTAACGAAACAGTTTTCGTTAAATTCATGCTCTTGAGAAAAACACATTCACCGTCCTCCTTCCAATTTTTCCAATATGATAGATTTAAACATGTTCGGCTGCACGAGCTAATTGAACTAAAAGTGATATCTTAATACATGCATATAAATTTACTTACGTTCTGCGTAGATTTGGTTGACGGTGGCAAAATCATTTAGGTCTTTAAGAAAAACTGTTGTTTTTAAAACTGAAAACAAAAATTGGAATCATTGATTTATCGGACTTGTAAGAATTATGAAAATATAATCTGGTAATTTTTTTGCAAACTTTTGGGTCTTTTTGGGTTTTGGATGGATGTCTTTTTGTTTGAGTCTAACTCAACTTCAATAATAATTAATGTGGAGATAAAATATCGTAGCCGTTTACATTGATTATTTTTATCCTATCTATTTACTTATTTACTTATTTCGTCAATCGAAAAGAAAAAATCATGTTATAAGAATAATGGTAAGTAAGTTTGAATGCATACGTCACTTATTTTTAATTTTTCTCTCTTTTTCTCCATTTTTACGGTACATGACAAGAAAAAGAAAGGGAGAGCAGCATTGCTTAAAATTTCATTTAGTAGTGGTCAGTGAGTTCTTCTTCGTATCCTCTAACAGGCGTAAAAATACATCTTTTAACATTATGAAAATATTGAGAATTTAGCGGCACATTTGTCCGCCAATCGTGCAACTAAAAAAAAGCGAGAAAATGTTCCGTTGTACCAACAGGAATGTCTGTTAAGTGCAAATCTTCTTGTTTCAAACAGTATGCCCAGACCTACAAAAAGTTTGGGAGGGTTTCAGGTCGATATAACGAGAAGCCTTATGGTGACATATTTAACAAAAACATTTTCCTCAATGTATGATGGCTTTGTAAGTATGTGAGTTACATGGGAGTCTTCAATTTACCATTGCTAAAGTCTCCGCCTGCCTCTTTTAAGATGGCAGCCATGTTTTTGAAAAGTTGTCTTGCTTGCTCAACTACACCCCCTGATACTAATTTTCCAGAGGCAGGGCAGTTTCCCGTGATTCCAGAGATGTAAAGAGTCTTATCAATCAAAACAGCCTGGCTGAAAATTTTAAAAAGAAAATGTTAAAAATAAACAAGCGTATCAGTTACAAATAATAGGAAAAAAAGCTCTATAACAACCAATCAAAGATCTCTATGTACATACTTACATACAAAGGCTTAGCTTTTTAGGGCAAGGGAAGAAAAGATAAATGAAAACAGACTTCTCTGAAGAAGTTTTTATTACCTATTGGTCTCTGTTGAGCGTCTGTTACAGAGCCAATGTTTATTGGTAAAGCGAATCATTTAGCAAGATATTATAATATCGCATTATCGCGTTACCTTAGTTTTTGGATGAACAAAAATCTTATGGCTTGAAGTTAAGTGAAGAGATTTTCAAGAAAAACCACCGAAAATGTTGAGCAACAGTGTTGACTGTTGATCCGTTCTCTTCATAAAAAAATATAATATTTACGCTGAGAAGTATAAACGCAGAAAATTTAGGTATATGTGATCTCGGAATTCATCGGTCCAAATTTCAGGCTTTCGTATCAAATCACTGCAGTTTAAAATTGAACAATAATAGGTAAATACTCGAAACATAAAATTAATTAACTTTTAAAAAAAATCCTATTCTTATGACTTGGTTACGAGTTCCAGCTCTGATTTGACAAAAGATGTTGAGTATTATTAGAACCTCTGCGAACAAACTGCGGTGATAATTTCTGCGGAAAATGTACGCTTAAAACAAAATATTGCTCTACATTATGTAAATAAAGAAAAGAAAAACTGCGGTCTACGTTATCAGCCGAATGATATAATAAGGAAACCATACACGAAATAACTCGCGAAAATCCGAGCGCACAAAGATAGATACATTCCAGAACTTATCTTTACTATTTGAGTATTTAAGATAAGTACCTATTATTACAAAATGACAATGCTTTTTTATTTTATTTTTCATTTTGAATCTTGAAGAGTTCTATCATTATTCAACTTTTTCCATTTTGCTTTTCCTTAATATTTTCTTGGGAGGGCAAGGGGGAGGGAGATTTATCTTACGTTACATGTAAACGATGTTACGTGTTAAATGTAAAACGATCATGAAAGAACTGTAAGGACAATAGAATTTGATTACTCGTATTGATTGGGCGGTTTAGAATAGTGTTTTAATTGCATTAAGCAATGATCATGATTTTTATATCTGTATCATGAATAATAATGATCATCGAATACCCAATAAAAGACGCGGTCCTACTGTAAACTTCAACAGTACGAAATCGCAGTTCATCGCTCATAAGTTTTGGTGAGTAATTTGCTCCTAACATTTGGACTGCATTTTGCAATTTGAAACTATAAATTCTAGCCTGGTTTAAAAACAACGTATGTGCTATTAGTTTCCCTATGTGCATAAGTGTTTCTCCGGGAGACCCAGAATTTATAGTTCCAAATTGCAAAATGTAGTCCATTTGATCCTCAAAGAACTGACCTGAGATGTTGCTTTGAATTAGATCGTAACGTTCCCTTTTCTGCCTCTATTTACAATTTGCTTGTCTCTTGTTCATTTGTCCTTTTTTTAGCGCTTCAACGCAATGAACATTCGGCGTGCGAAAAATTCACTCCACTCACTACGCGAAGCTTTACCCAAAACTTTAAGTATATATTCTTAAATAGATGAATGTTTCATTCTATGGAAACTCCAAGGAAAATTTGTCAAATAACAAGAAAAATTTCATACCCCCAAAAATTTAAAAACAATTTCCAGAAAATATCTCCCCTTCTCCGTCTACATATTTCAATGATTAACTAGTTCGGGGTCAAATTTTGTAATTTTTAATGGACTTTGGGACATTTTTTGAGATTTGTTGAAGTTTCGTCGAAAGCACCCCTTCCCGCCCCCTGAGGCAAATTTAACCTCCTCCAAATAGTCTTCGTTTCCAAAGATTTGGCTGGAAAGCAACCCAACCCAACCTTGAGACTGGATTACATTTTGCAGTAAGGAACCACTATTTGTGGCCTATTGTAGAAACAACGTACATGATGCCATTGGTTCCCCTATGCAGATATGTGTTTTCATGGAAGAGCCAGAGATTTTGGTTCCTTGCTGCAAAATGTAATCCAATAACACCATCTAACGCGCATACTAATTCCAGGACCTCGATCAAAGCAAGACATCAACATGCAGATTATCAGTTTAGCTGTGTTCACACTCCTTGCTGCTGCTGCCTTTGGAATGCCTTGTGAAGAAGACGAAAATGCTATTGCTGACTCTTCTCTAAGAAACTACGAAACTCAGCCTCCTGAATACGTCATCGATCCGAGAATCAACGACGCTGATCCTTTGGCTTATGGCTCTCTACCGGAGGATTATATCCCGCAACAGGACGGTGAGTTCCTCGACGATGAAGGTGACGTCATCTCGAATGAGCCGCATCTTTTGGGGGGCGTATAATAGCCGTAGCTCCTCTGACAAAACCTCGTTTCCCGAATGTTTACTATTTTAATTATTCAATCATTTATATTTTATTATGTAGGGGCTATAAAAATGGAAATCGGCGCCGTTGAAAAAGAGATGGCCTACTCGAAGTTATAGTTGGACCAAATTTTGCAATAAGAGACCACTATTTCTGGTTCATTTCAGAAACAGCGTATGTGTCATTGGTTTCCCTATGCAGAAAGGTGCTTTTATAGAAGAGCCAGGGATAGTGGTTCCTTACTGAGAAAGGTGCTTTTAGGGAAGAGCCAAGGATAGTGGTTCCTCACTGCAAAATGTAATCCAGTTGATGCTCGGTTTTTTTTTTTCGTATACATGCTATCTTTTTTTTATTATTATAGAGAGTTATCTGCCATATATTTAATTACTCCTGAGTCCTTAAATTGTTATTATACACAAGAACCCCCTGTCATTTTTGACACTGGATCATTTTTATTTTAGTTTCTTTACTTTTAATTTTATATTTGAAATGTATTTTTATGTAATAAAAATTCGATTTGAGTTTTTAGACATTCCTTTTTCTCTTCTGTTTTGTGCAAAATCCGATCCATTATCTGTGATATTGTTTCTTAAAAATATATCGTTAGATGACTTCATTCATCATCCTTCTTGAGGCGATATGTTCCTATCAATACAAGACGTAGTACGTGATTTTGAACTAATCAAATCTTGATAGAGTAAAGCAAAAGTACCATAAAACGGGAATTAAAAATTGAGATATCTATACCACAGCTTAAAAGGGCTAATTATTCTGCATCATTTGACATAAAAAGACACTCAATATTTTCAAAAATCAAAGCAATGAAAGCATTTGAAAATTAATGAGCTAATAATCGTATATTTCAGAAAAACACGCCTGCGCTGCTATTGTCAGCTTTAGAAGCGGTTCAGATCAAATCAAAAAGTAAATTATAAATGATAAACAACAATAAACTGACATAATAAAAAGTGACAAGTAGGCGCCACTGTGTAACACAGCGGTAAAGTTGGAGTGAGAGCGGCATTATATTTTGTGTGTTTCTTGCTGGGTATGTGCATGAGCAAAACTACTGCGTGCAACTATTCGTGCTTCCAAGCCGCTCATATTGCCATCGCGATTATTGAAGGGGAACTCGACAGAACGAGAGACACGTGATAAGGGGAAGAATTAACTTGTGTTCTTCATCGAGATTGCGTAGAAGCGACAAAATCACTGCATGCGCACAAATATCCCTGCTCCCGAGCAGATTGATTAATAATGCAAAAAATGGGTTAAAATTTCGACCTCTCATTCTTAAAAACATTAAAAGAGTTTCACGTAAAAAACTGAAAATCTTTATTTTTTCCCCAAAATTGGTGTTCCAAAAAAGGTAGGTCTAAACAATTTCAGTTTGTCTCCATAGCCAAAATTATCAAAATTAATTTATCACAATCACACTGGAAAAAAACACATAGGATCTAGAGTCCAGACTCTTGAAAACATTGACAAGAAAAAGGACTCTTGATTCAATCAGATTTAAGCTTAAATCAAAAGGAAATCCGCTCAAATTAAGAGGTTGATTTAAGCTTAAATCTGATTGAATCAAGAGTCCTTTTTCTTGTCAATGTTTTCAAGAGTCTGGACTCTAGATCCTTTTTTTTTTTTTTTTTCGGTGTATCTCTTACTAACCTGTAAAATTTAACCATCGAAAATACATACTACTTGCTACTTACTCATGGAGGGTAGTGTAAGTAGCGTAGGTTGTAATGAATTGCAATCAACTTGTATAATAATTATTGCGCTAATGATGTATTGGAGTGTTTTGCTTGTTGCCTACATACTAATTGAAGGAGATTTTCTTAGTGAGACTCTTTGCAATTATTTTTAAATGAGTTACAATTTTTCTTTACATTGCAAGTTGACCATTCGCTTGATTCGTAAGACCACAAGAGCTTAAAATCGACATATATTCGTCGGCCAAATTTTGTAGGTAACAATAGTGCAAGAAGATAATACAAATTCATTTTTATCGCATGAACTTGCATCTCCATATTATAGGCTCCGCGTTACATTGGAGTCGTGGGTGTAAACGCAATAATCTAAGTATCCGATATTATTTGAAAATAAATAAATATGTAGTCCTGTTGTCTCCGGAGAAATGTATTCCCCTTCTTGATGAATGAATTCAATCAGAATAGATGAAAAGAGATTACAGTAAAAAACTACACGCTTTATTTAAATATCACATACCTGTAGGGCCCAATGGGCTTTGGAGCCGCCTCTGTGTAAATTATTCTTCGCGTTGACATTATTAAGGTAAAACTGAAAATTAGAAGCTCACTTAATTTATCACAGGAACACGCCAGCTGGCTGAACCGATAAACACTAAATTAATTGTAGGTTTACTTTCTCTCCTCTCAATCAATGCTCCACGTTAATCTCCCATCAGTAGATAACAAGTCAAGCGATACTGCTGATCGCGTGTACGAGTGAATTTTCGGTTTTCGGAGGTCTACTCAACAAGTTTCAAGGGTCAACTATTGGAGTGATAGACTTAAGTGATGTAATATGCAACATCTTGCATATCTTACAATACAGTAGTTAATATTTAAAGATATGCATAGCTTTTGGCTCGTGCAACCATCCTTTTTGTCGCATCATTTCAAATATCTGTCCGTCTAGTGGTATTAGAGTTTATTATCACTCTGAAGTGTCGCAGTCAAGAGTTGTATGGCTCTACTACAACTTAAAAATCTCTTATATGAAATTATTGGAGTAAAATTTGAACAGGGACCCAAATGTTTTGCCAAAGAAAAAAGCTCATGTGGTCTAAGTTCCCCGTCCCCCCCCCCCCGTCCCCTATAACCTAGCCATTTTTTGTGATGTGTTCAATGTATTTGAGTTGGCACATGCATTTGAATATTTAGAATTCAGAAAAATATACGCGCATGTAAATTACTCCCATAAATATGCCATGTTGATATAATTATTTGGACATAGTATTCATGAATTTCAATGAGCAAGGGCTGAGAAGCTCAAATAATATGTATCATTTTTTCCCTAGCAATTAAGGGGTTGATTTTTTTATACGCCTCCATTTTTAAACGGCAATTCTCAGAACAACCAGCACTAATTAAACATATGTTTTGATGACTTAATACGTCATCTGTTGGGTACACACGAATTTAATTAACCCAATGAACTCAAACGTATAGAGTCATTAGCGCACAGATCGATTTAGGAACTCGCAGCACCCACTTACGAGGTCGAGTGCACAAGGGTAAGTCACTTTCGCTGAAAAATTGATTTATTTGAGTTCAACGCAACTTGAACCCCTATAATTACAGGAATGATTGTTTTTAAGATTTTGCATGATATTTCTCATCATAAAAGGACCCCGATTCCTTCGTTTCATAAGCTTTATATTGAAAAATTTGCACTAAAGTTTGGTCTTAATTGCAAGACAATAAAGTAATTTATTAGGAGGTCACTTGTTTCTCGTTAAACAATACCATAATTTTTGTGACAACTGAGGGTGCTTAGTATATTCAGAATTTCTTCTCTACAAGTGCTACTTAAGAATTACCCAGGAAAAATATCGTGGTTGAATTGTGACGTTCTTGTTTTCTCGTATTAGGAGCATTAGAAGCCCGCACGTTTTTTCATCCTTTTCTCTCGACATAATGTTTTAATTTTGTTTCAAACAAAGTATTTCGTGAACTCACGGCTAAATATATCAAGGAGCCTCTCCCTTATTTTCTCTTAAATTATTTGTTGATAAATGCCTGAAATTGCGTTGCTTAGGGATTACATTTTTACATTTTATTGAGGAAAGCCCCCTGAACCTCCCCCCCCCCCTTTTGAGGTAGAGGCACTCTCGTGAGGCCGTCACCACAGATTGCGTCTATGGGCCCAAACATTCGGCCTGCCAATTTTATGCTTTTTTTCATCATGCCGATTGCTGGAACCTTTTCCAGCTAATGGGAAAGTTACTGTTATTTCCCCCGAAGGTGTTGATTTAAAGTTGAACGTATTTCTACCAAACGTAACTATGTGCATTAAGACATGAGCCCTGAGACCCATAAGAATATATGCATAACACTGCTGTGCTAAGTAAAAACGTCATATGGGCCTTCAGGCGTTGTCACATTTCCTTTGGTAAATCATGAATTTTCGGGATTTGTAAATATTTTTCCTCCAATTTTATGGATAATTTTGTCGGAAATTTCACATAAAGTTCCTGAATATTATCAAGGAAAAATATATTTAACGTTCTTTAAAATTAACTGTTTTCTGAGAGGCAATTTGGCAACTCTTGAATGTTCTTACGGCGTTTTTCCTTAGGATATGGATTACTTCAGGGACATAATGTTGCCATGGAGCAGCGTGCATATCTTGACGAGCCCTTACCTTTGGATCCTGCTCTTCCTGGTCGGAGGCGCAGTGCCCATCATTTACTACTTGCACCAAAAACACACCTACTGGCTTCGCCGCGGAGTGCCGTTTATACCAATATCAAAGCTACTGTCCCAGGTGAGAATGGTTAAATCCAAAAAGTTATGTGAGAAAGCGTCAAGAGTGAGTTAGTTTTTCTTATGAATGTGTTCTCGGTCAAGAACTAATGTGCTAATTTTCTCAGTTGGAATTTGGATTGTAGCCGAGTGCTAGAAATAATGTAAAATTTCTTTAAAAAACTTACATTTCATTAACAAATTTATACCGAGGCTTTTCGAAGCGAACGCTTCATCGTCAGGGTCACCAAATCAATATCGCAAAGGCTATAATTTAAATTTCAAGCACTCGGCACATTATTTCTAGCACTCGGCTACAATCCAAATTCCAATATATTCAGTGCTACTACCTTCAGACATTGCATTACAATGTTCGCTGATTTTAATTTTCTCGTTCAATTTCGGAAAAGTTAATCATCATCTGAGGAATCATAAAGTTATTTAAGGTTAATTGGACGTATTTTTGCTGAAAAGAACTATGTGCAAGTGGAAAGATGGGATGTGCTCGTGTTGAGCTGGATAAGAAACAATGCGGTTAGAGGATAAAGTTCCTTTTGAGAAAATGGAAAAGCGGGATTTACAATTAAATCAAAAGGAACTGAGCGCCAACTCGTAAGCTGTGGGCATGTGACAAGAGCCTTGTGGACAGGGCTCATGAGTTAAAGACTGACGACCTAGTCGTTGTCGCTCTCGTTGTGCACGTAGAGCCCGGTCCTCAAAGCTGACGTCACTGGCGCTTTTAAATTCCCATTCATTCTTATGGCCCGAGCACTAAGGAGCACACCCCATCTTTCCACTTGCTTATAGTTCTATTTAGCATAAATACATCCAATTTAAGGACGAGATCTGCCACTAATTTATGCCGCAACACAGTCGGTGTCTTTGATCTGATCAATGATGCCTGAGCCTGATATCGTCGCTCCTCTAGCGTAACGTCGTATCTCGATTTCCGCATGAGCTCTAGACTGCATTGGTTTATATGCGAATCAGGGCTCACGTGGCAATCGAAAAACGTCCTTACGGCTGATAAGCGCGACGATATTAATCATCGTAATACAACTTTATGTAAAAAACGTATCCGAAACATGTAGATAACAGCATCACTGCTCACTTGTATTACATCGGATTTCAGCGGCACTGTTAGAATTTTTCGAGTGAGGTCCGGATTGCAGTTGACTCCGGAGCCTATTTTCTTCTCAGAAAACTCGAGTAATACCATGAATAAGGAGTGAAATCCTTTAATATGATAGAGAATTTCGCTCCGCAAAAATAGTCGATCTTCCTCTGTAGTTACAAACCTAGTTCACTCCTCGCTTACATCATACTTATATTCTTGAAGCAAAGAAGACACCGGAGTGAATGGGTCAGTTGCGCTAGTCACAGAGCCGCGTTTTGATGCTTGGTCCTTGTAGATCAGCTAAAAAATAATGAGATTTGTCTAAACAGAAACTTTCTACGTTCAATATTAGCCAAGATATCTGTCGTCCACCTCGGTAGTGACACCCTTGGTTTCTTCCACCTTGCTTTCATCCGAGTTCCATGTTGAATAACGAGTGCAAAATTGTGCGTCACACTGACTAATGAAAGCAAGATGGAAGAGACCAAGGGAGTCACTGATGCGGTTGATGATGTCAAAAACCCGACTTTTGAAAGGGCTAAAGCCCTTTAATATTGAACGTAGAAAGTTGCTGTTTTGACAAATCTTGTTATTAATTGCTGATCTACAAGATCCAAGCATCAAAACACGATTCTGTGACCAACGCAACTGACCCATTATGGGTTTCGCACCGAAATTGTTAACAGTGAAATTTCTTAAAAATGCCCATCGAAAAGTAATATTAATGTCATACATTTCTGAATGTGATGGGGAGAAAAGTCATGCTAAGTCTCTCTTACCCACCATGTCGCGAAATGATATCCGTTTTCCTTTTTTTTTCTATGTAAATTCTGAATGAATCTTCACAAAGTTGCCATACTACACGATATCATTGCAGTCACGTCATGAATCAGTTGTACGTGTTTCTGTGCGGCCAGCGCAGAACCCATCTTAGCGCCTACAAGACTGCAAGGATACTTCATGCATTGCGCGTACACCACAGAGGATACTTCACGCGTTGCGCGTACATCACGGTACGTATGCGCATTGCGTGAAGTATCTATGCAGTCTTGTAGGCACCAGTACGCGTTCCGCGCTGTCAGTACTGTGTTTGGCTCTGACAGTCATTGTTTTTCAACTGGACGTATTTCTGCCAAACGAAACTATTGACGATTGAAAAAGATGGGGTGTGCTCTAGAAAGCATGCATAAGAAACATTGTTAAAGTGGGCGTGATTCCCTTTGGAGATATGGAGAAGTGGGATTGTACATTCTGTCAAACGGAACTGTGCGCCAACTGACTGCGGCAATCATAAACCGTGGGCGTGGGAAAAGAGCGTTGTGGACAGGGCTCATGAGTTAATGCCGACCATAAGCGACAACGGAGACGGCTTCGTTGCCGCTGACGTCACCGGCGCTTTATAATTCCCATTCATTCTTACGGCCCTCGACTAACGAGCACACCCCTTGTTTCCCACCTGTCTCTGGTTCTGTTTGGCAGAACCAGTTCCGTCCGGTTCTTTAAAGAGAACCGGGTGATTTTTACATTAATTATTTTTCTTTCTTTTTGGTGTGTGTATTCAGTTTGTGCGGTTGATGTTGGGGCGACTTCAAGTGTGGACGATTTTCGAGGAGTTCTACGTGTCGCTGGCTGGGCACAAATTCGGAGGGAGCTACCAACTGACGAGGCCAACGCTCATCCTCCGCGACCCCGAGCTAATCCGAAGTTGCCTCATCAACAACTTCTCGTGCTTCCACGACCACCAAGGGGTCGCGCCCTGCCCTAAAGTTGACCCGCTTTCTCACAACCTCTACCAGCTCACCGGTGAGCAGTGGCACCAGGTTCGGCAGAAGGTTAGACACTTTTCATGAATAATCCTAAATAGTTAGTTCCATTTTTCGTTGAATTTCTCCTCATTTTCATTTATTTTGCAAAGAGTATTCAGTACAAATTCTAATGGTGGCCGTTCAAGTATTACGTAACGCACTTGAGGGGGAGGGGGATTTCAGCTTAGCGTTCCGGTGCGTTACAAGGGGGAGAGGGGATAAAGCCCAGTGATACGTAACAAATCCAAACTAAGGAGGGAAAATTGAAAATCTCGCCCGTGTGAATGGATTAATGGGAATCGTTATGAATTTCTGACCTTCAGTCTAGTCCTTGAACTTTCATTATTGATGCATATTCCGAAACGAAATAAAAATGTCAACAGCACGCAGTGTTCCCAAGCGGTCTCCCATCTAAGTACTAACTACGCCCGACGCTGCTTAACTTCGGTGATCGGACGAGAACCGGTGCTTTCAACGTGGTATGGCCGTTGACGAGGAAAGCGACCGTCGCTCTGACCGATGGGATGCCGTGGCGACAGCCTGATCCGGAAAAAGTGCTCTTAGATGTCTTCAAATTATATGCGGGATTCTCATTTTTCAACCAAATTATATATGTGGGATTCTCTAGAGTACCTATATTGAGAGAGTATGGCCACTGGGCCCGATGGAGAGGCTTAGGACCCAAAAATGGCGGTGCGTTGTTTTGGTTTTTGTGGAAGGGAGGGGGGTCATTGCCAACTTTCGACGGTTTTCACCAACCGCACTTGCTGCCAACCTTACTGCATCCAAGATAATTTTTCTCAAAAATTGCACACGATTAGCCTTAAAAATATGTAAAGAAGTCGCAATAGTGCATTTGGGTAAATTTCTCGTTACGATAAGCAAAGAAAACTACATTTTGAGTCATTTTGCAATACATTAATTTATGGCGTCCGCCATTTTTGGGTCCTAAGGGCTCCATTCAGCCTAAGATGGCTGAGCCAATCAGAGGTGGTAACTCCAGTGGCCATACTCTCTCAATATAGGTACTCTAGGATTCTCCATTTTTGATTATTCAACGGAACTCTACAGAAATTGCTCCACTAAACATTTTGTTTTCGTCGACTAATGTTTCGCTATCTACTGACGGTTACGCATTGATAAAAATCGGAAATGCGTTTTTCAGATTACGATGATAAAAGTCTTCAATGTTTTTTAATGTTTTCAAGGATAACCAACCATTAGATCCTATTGAAATTCTCTGTATATTTTCATCGCTTTCTCTAAATAAATCACAGCCAATGGACCACTGGACAAGGTACGAATTTAAGCATTCTGATACATGTTTCTTGACCAGAATTTCACGTAAAACACGTTTCGCGCAACGAAACTTACCGAAATCAACTCCTAACAAAGATATTAACATTTTTATATCACATTGGTTACGAGGAATTTGAACTGCCCGCTCACAAGAAACTCAAAGCTCTACGTGAGTCAAATCGCGCACTACAACGGTTTCAGCAAGCTTCTCAATCGAGCAATGTTCATTTCCCTATAACCAGTGTTGTTCAAACTATAAACAACTTGCTATAGCTGAGCCAAAGCGTCAAGATTGAGGTTGCCAGATTTTTTTTCTCAGAGGCTGTCATGATAACGTTTAGCGCGCGATGTGAGTCACGTAGAGCATTGAGTTTTCATGAGCGGGTGGTTTGAATTTACGCATCAAGAATCATTAAATATCTTCGTAAGGAGTTGATTTTGGTAATTTTCGTTGTGCGCATCGTATTCTACGTGAAATTTTGGTTGTGAAACGTGTATCAAAATGCTGATATTCGTGCCTTGTTTATTAGTCCATTGCAATGAAACATTTCAATAAGTTTTCTTTGATTAAGATCGAGTCGGACGTTTCTTAAGGTGATTTGACGGTTGCTATTTTTTGCCAGAGCGACGAAAGATATATCGCATCAATTCGTTTCATAATTTAAGGTACTTATCATTTTTTTTTGAATTTTGAGATCGCACTGCTGTTGTCATTATGAGACTGAAGAATTCTAAGGAGACTAAGAGAAATATAGCATTCGATACTAAGATCGAAAGTGCAGTCGAATGCGATATTTTTCCTCTAAAAAACCCACGCCTTTAATACATTGAATTCCTTTGTGAAATTAGATACATGAATTCTTTAGTCTCATGACAATAGAAGTGCGATTTCAAAATTTGAAACGAATGACAAGTAGCTGAAATTATGGAACGAATTGATGCGACGTATCGCACGTTGCTCTGACACAAAAAATGACAACCGTCGAATCACCTTAAGCGTTACAATTGAGGTTTTACTTTTTCGCCTTTAGCCATTGATACGTGAAGGGTGGAAATTCAAAATCTGGAAAGTGTCATCCGGTATTGCTAAAATTGTGCATCTTGCTCCGTAGCGTAAAAGGACCTGAATAATTCCCTTCATTAAATTTTAGTGAAGAAATGTTCTATGAACTTTGACCTTATAGAAACTGGTGCTCAATCGTAGCAACACCTGGGGGCACTTGCCAGGTTTTGAATTTATGCTCTCCCTATAAAAAAGATAAAAAAGCACTTGATGAAAAGATTCTCAGGTTTTGATTTTACTTACTCAGAGGAGGAATAGAGGAACATATTTTGACAAGCTCGTTTCCACACCACCTTAGGAAAGCCCGATCAGGTAGAGGATACGGTGCTGCTCCTGGAGGTAGAGCTTACGGCGCGTTTTTTTTAACGTGGTGTCGCCAAGAGCCCTAATCCACGGGAAAGGGAAGAAGAAAAGGGAGAGGGAAGAGGAAAAGGGAGAAGAAAGAGGAAGAGGGAAAGGGGAAGAGGAAACAAAAAAATACACTCACCAACGTCGATGCATCGCCACCTGTCACTTCGCCATGCCGTTTTTGATACTCCTAAAAACAGCTGTGCCCGCAGAAGACGAAAGTAGCGCCCTCCGCAACTGATTACGGAGGAGGAATAAAACAGTATCTACCTTCGGTTGCGGGAAGATCCAGCAGCAGCAGCAGCAGCACCTGGAACAGAGAATAAAAAAAAGAAAAGAAAGAAAAGAAGGAAAAAAAAAATAAAAAAAAATGCGACGATCCCGGTACGATGGCACCCAGCAGCAGCACCTGGAACAGAGAATAAAAAAAAGAAAAGAAAGAAAAGAAGGGAAAAAAAAAATAAAAAAAAAATGCGACGATCCCGGTACGATGGCACCCAGCAGCAGCACCTGCAACAGAGAATAAAAAAAAGAAAAGAAAGAAAAGAAGGAAAAAAAAAA